GCAGTATCACTATGGAAGTAGATTGCCCCATCTTCCTTCTGAGGAGTGGCTGGTGGGTTTGAACTGCCAGCCTTCTGGTTAGCAGTCAAATGCCTTTAGGCACTAGGCTACCAGAGCTCCGAGCAAACCTTTTATCATAGGCTCTGAATGAGATTAAACTGTGACATTGAGTCAGATTCCATTGTTACAGCAAGAGAAGAACTAAGTGTTTGGCCGACTTGGTCCTGGGAAGAAATAGCCCTTAGGGGATCCCAGATCCTTTGGGGTCAGTGTGGGGCTGTTCTCTTTTCTCCCGGCAGGATGGTGGCCGATCCTGACAATCCTCTGGTACTAGACATCCTGACGGGCTCTTCTACCTCTTACTCCTTCTTCCCGGATAAACCCATCACCCAGGTGAGGGGGCTTTGTAGCCTTGAGGTCTCCAGCCCCTGGACCCAGTATCAGAGTTCTTTGTTTGAAAGTGAGAACTGAGCAGGATAGCCCACGTAGCCCTGCTGGTAAAATAAGAGGTTGGTAGCAGTGGGAAGTGGGCAGACCAGTGAGGTGATCTCAGGTTCCCCCTTAGGTAGGCCCTGGGTGGAGGTGGTGGAGGTCCAGCCTGCTGCCCTTTTACTCTAATGACCCAGCTACCTCTCCCTTCCCTGGCACACCTTGGATGCCCACCTCCTTTTATTCCCAGTATCCCCACGCTGTGGGGAAGAACACCCTCCTGATTGCTGGGCTGCAGGCCAGGAACAATGCCCGGGTCATCTTCAGCGGCTCCCTGGACTTCTTCAGCGATGCCTTTTTCAACTCGGCCGTGGAGAAGGCCACACCTGGCTCCCAGAGGTGAGTTCCAGGAGGCTCAGGGGCATGTGGTCCAGGTAGTAGAGTCTCGGTATACAGGGAGGCGCAGATGGGGAGGGAGGAGGATCTTAGTTCAAAGTTTCAGGGGCTCAGCATCTTCAGGACTTTGAAACTGTTTGAAGACTTTGTTAAAATTTAGAGACCCCAACCAACTGCCATTCTTTTTATAAAGCTCTGTACAGACAGTCCTGGCTTAGGAATGAGATCCGTTCCTGAGTGTGTCTTTAAGTTGAATTTGTAGGTAAGTTGGAACAGGTTATTACAGTTCTTATATAGCCTCACTTTAGTCCAAGAAAAGGCTCAAAGCCATTTCAGTGATTTAAAAGCTGCATGTATAGCCAGTGAAGATGATCGTGAGGAAGAATATGTCTTGAGTAGGGATTGGTTCAGCCATTTCAAAGTAGGGCAAATGTACATCATGTTAAAAGGCAAGTGTGAGTTGTCCGTGAATTGGCTGTTCATAACTGTATTACTGTGCAGGTACCACCCAAAGCAACCCCACCAACGTTTTTCGTGTTGTCTGTGTCCCCTTTGATTATGGGTACCTAGATAAGTGTGGGTCACAGGCAGAACTCAGCCTAGTGTGTTTTGGGAAGAAGTTGGTTCTGGTGCATAGCCTCTCCTGTTTTCCCCTCTGTAGGTATTCCCAGACAGGCAACTATGAGCTAGCTGTGGCCCTGTCCCGCTGGGTGTTCAAGGAGGAAGGTGTTCTCCGTGTGGGGCCTGTGTCCCATCATCGGGTGGGCGAGACAGCCCCTCCCAATGCCTACACTGTCACTGACTTAGTGGTAAGCTTCTTGGGGGAAGTGTGGTGAGGTTTTGGCAAGTTGATTCCACAGGCATTTATTGAACACTTCTGTGTTGGGCTCAGGCGCATAAACAGTTTAGGTGCAGAGAAGCTGGCACATAACTGATAGCCTCACGGGATACTTTTCTGAAAAGGTGTGTGTTTTGCTGTGGGATATGGAGGCAGAGAGGCAGGAGAAGGGACATTTGAGTTGGGTCTTGAGGATGAATTTGTCTGAGAAATGGGGAAAAGCAAGGGAGCAGTGTACATGCAAGCGTGGGTGCTGGAAAGTCCTGGCACACTGTGGGAATGGAGTGGTTTGGGTTGAGGCTTTAATGGGCCATGAAGACTGTGACTAGGATTTGGACCACTGAAAAGGCATAGATGCAGAGGCAGATGATTTAACCTTGGTGAGTAGTGTCAGTCTGTGCTCAGCAATGGGTGGTTAAGAGTTTTAGCAGTTTTCTAGAACTCCTGGGAATTCCATTCATGGGATGGGAATCGGCCAGCTCTGACTTGGGGTGGAGGCACCATCCGATCATGTTCGGGCCAACCTGGCCTCTTATTCCAGGAGTACAGCATCGTGATCGAACAGCTCTCAAATGGCAGATGGGTGCCTTTCGATGGTGATGACATTCAGCTGGAGTTTGTCCGCATTGACCCCTTTGTGAGGACCTTCTTAAAGAAGAAAGGTATGTGCAGTTTTTCCAAGAAAGTATTACTGGGAGACAGTCCTACCCTTGCTTGCGCTAATGAGGCCCAACAGGGAAATGCTCTGAAACGCCTCCTTGTTACTTGTTGGTTCTTCTGTAGGCGGCAAGTACAGTGTCCAGTTCAAGTTGCCTGATGTGTATGGTGTGTTCCAGTTTAAAGTGGATTACAACCGACTTGGCTACACACACTTATACTCGTCCACTCAGGTAAGCACAGGTTTTCACAGGTCCCTGTTTTCAGCCAGCATGCCACCTTCCTAGCTTCTTTGTGGCCGGGGCCGACCGCCTCTGTCTGTTGCAGGTATCGGTGAGGCCACTGCAGCACACGCAGTATGAGCGTTTCATCCCCTCGGCCTACCCCTACTACGCCAGCGCCTTCTCCATGATGGCAGGGCTGTTCATCTTCAGCATCGTCTTCTTACACATGAAGGAGAAAGAGAAGTCTGACTAGGGGCCCAAGCCCTGGGACTCAATACTGCTTGGAGAAAGAGGGTTTTTATGGTTTTTTTTTTTTTTTTTCCTTTCCCCTTTATGGTGTGCGTGTGTGTGTTTGTTTGTTTTTAAGCCGTGGGACAATGGCACAGCCTTACCTCAGTGGGAGATGCAGCATTGAGTACCAACGGGTGGGGGTCAGGGAACACTTTTTCCATATTTCCACCTTGAATTATTAAGTGGCATTTTTCATAAGTGCAGTCACTCATTTCTAAAATAAAGAGAAATGCTGCCCTCAGACTTCATCTGACCCATTTTGCTTTGTTAGCAGTGGGGATGCTGTCCAGTCATGACTGGAACTGTATTTTCTTCATGAAATGCTAGAACCTCCTAGCTTCTCAAGGGATAAAACAGTTACTTAATGCATGGGGAAGGGGAATCCCTGAAATGAAAAACCTAAGATGACAGTGCTTGGCTTTATAATAGAATTATAGAATAACTGGATGAAAAGGACCTTAAATACACGCTTTACCTTGTTTGCTTTAGGCAATAGCTGAGTGCCTAAAAAGCACATGGAAGATTCTATGTGAAATCCTTACCCCATTGTGAACATCTACCCAAACTTTGTGGTCTTTAGAATATAAGAATCACTCTTAAAGCCAGATACTCTGTTTAAGTCACATATACATTCTGCTGTTGTAAATTTGTATTTACTTCTTCATAATTCTTTTAAGAAACCAAGTTAAAGGAAGATCATGTTTAAAACACCACTCTGTTAGTTTCATCAGCTATGATAGTTATGCTAGGTTCAATTCAGTAGCTAGAGATGCTCTGTGACATGGTTTCGCCAGAGTATTCCTAGTGGTGTTCCAGAAAGCCTAACTGATGTGCAGAAACACCGACTCCTCAGGCTTCACTTCCTGTTGGTTCATTCTGGCACCTGTGCAAACGTCTGCCTCAGCCCAGACTGGTGACATGGCTGCCCCTTTCATACTAGCAGCAGGCCATTCCTAGACCTAGAGACAAATGTCACAGTAGAACTCTGCCACTAACAGCGATGGCCTTGGTCTGTAGTGTGAAACACACATGGTATAACCCTCCTCAGACCAGCCTCATCTCACAACCAGCTCGGTCATCATCATTTCCCAGCACTCAGGGCAGAGCGTGGGTGACTGGGTGTTTGGTCAGCAGTTACACCTGAGTGGATCTGCTCACCTGCTGCTGAGATTACATATTCCTTTGGCTTCCTACATGGATAATCTTAATCACATTTAAGCACTGATACACAAGGGGATCTATCAATGAGTTGGCAGTACTTTTTGAGTCTAGTTCTTTGAATCCACCTAGACCAGGGGTTGACAGACTAGCCTCCTGGCCAATCCAGACTGCTGCCTATTTTTGAATGGTTTTAGGTGAAACTTTACATAGTAAATTAGTTTTCTGATCAATAGTTTGTACATGATTTGTTTCACAACATTGGTTGTAATCCCCACGCACTCTTCCTATTTCCCCCTCGGGATCCTCATTTCCCTCCATCTGGTTTCCCTATCCCTCCTCGTCTTTGGTTTTGGGCAAATGTTGCCCTTTTGGTTCCATATAGTCAGTTGTTCTAAGGAGCACATTCTTCAAAGGTGTTTTTTACAGTTCTATTAAGTGGCTGAAAGGTGGCTTCTAGGAGTGTCTTCCATCTCATGTTAGAAGGTTTGTCTTAGGGCAGTAGTCTTGGAGGTTCCCCTAGTCTCTTTCAGACCAGTAAGTCTGGCCGTTTTTTTTTTTT